GCCCAAGAAATTATTTGGAAAATTCGTGACAAGGTTCTTTCAAAGTGACAAGAATCTAAAAATCCATTCCAAATATGCTTCGAAGGCTCAAAAATTCCATAACATAAAAATTCATCTTATTCTTTCTGAAGCATTGTTGTACCATACATGATTGTATACATATATGTCCAATCTTTATTAAAGTTAATAATCAGTTTTCTAATGATTAAATATTGGGGAGACTTCTTGGAACTCAATTTCACCACAATGTAGGAGTTTCAACCAGAATGGGTAAATTTAATAATGCTCTTCCTATTAGAGAAATACTTGAACATCAATTTTCCTAGATATCTCATTCAACACTCCTTAATTTCCTATAGTTTCCTTATTATATTTTCCTAGAGTTTCCTATAGAGTAAACAATAAATTCAACTTGATAACTATCTCAACTAACTTGAGCACTAATCGTCTGAGATCTGACCTATAAAAAAACAAAGAAACAATTTAAATGGGAATCAATTTTACAAATTTGTTGTGGATTGAGACAAAGGAAATATAGTAACTTTTAGTTCCAAAATTAATCACCAAAATATAATGAAACGGAAACACAAACAACATTTAAGATATGTAGCAGTACTCTAGTGTAAAAAAAATTGAATATCATCCAAATGAGTTACTAATATCAACACTCAAAAAATGTTGGCTTTAACTAAAAATTAACTTACTGGAGGATTTCTACACGTTTTTTAAAAATTGTATCAGCTTATAAAATTTTCATATGCCTTTTCATAATACCAATGAAAAAAGTATCTCACAAAACTACACTCTTTCTCTATTTTATAAAATATCTAATGAAGAAGTGTAATAGACGACTTATGTATCATTCCACGATTATGTTGCAGATATTTCATATATTGAAATATATCTTATTTTAATTGAATTTGAACCAATATCAGAAGAACTTTACCCGGAAATGAACTTAATTCATACAAATGTAAAAAAAAACAACAAAACAAAGAATTGCAATGTGCATCTCTATGAGTTTATTTTCAAAACACCTTTATGTGCTGATTCAAATATCACATTTATCAATACAATATATTACTGAACAGTTTCCTAGTTCAACCAAGTGCAATTCGTAACAATTGCATTATTTGTCATTTTAAATAATGTTGTATCCATCAATTTTAATTTCTATACTAATGCACTTGTCAATCTACTAAACTCAACACAATCAACATCAACATCATTAAGAACAACAACACCTATGCATTAACTAATTAATGCAAAATAAACATTTGGAAAAAGACAATGGAGAACATTAAAATAATTGTAAATAGATTTAAACATTCATGAGAAGAAATAAACAGAAGTTTGAAACCTGAGAGAATAACAGCAAAGTGCAATGATGATCTGATTTATATTTGTTGAAAAAAGTATATAAAAATACCATATCAAAAAATTTCGATAATTATGTAGGGTTGCTCAAGTCGTGCCACTGCCTAAGTCATACCTCTGGGGGTATTTTGTTAAAATAATTATAATTTATCGTAATCTGTTAAATTAGTCAATTTTATTAAGAATATTATTTGAAATTGGTATGCTAGACTTGGATTTTGTGAAACAGAAATAATTTATTTAGAAATTTATTAGCTTGTGATCTGAAAAATATGTATGAGTTCAAATTCTCATGAGTAAGAAGACTCAAAAAAAGTTAAATAATAATTAAAAAAAAATTCTTTCACTATATTCGAATCATCTATGATGCAATTTCCAAAATCGGTCAAACATTATATCTTTTCAGTCAAAATTGCATGTATGTATTTAGAAACACGATAAAACAAAATCATATGAAGTGTTTATATGAATTAGTTAATTGCTCATGTATTTTCATCGAATAATTGCAAATTTGTGTACTTAGAGTCGAATAGTGTTCTCGAGATCTCCTGTTGCAATAATTAAAATTTTTCTTTAGATCATTTCAATTTTTTAGAATATTTTGAGTATTTTGCTAAATGTTTTCAATTATGTATGACATGTATGATTCATATAAAATCAATTTTTTAGACTGCTTAAACTCACTCAAACAATATTTTATTGTGGATATATTTGTTATCGATAAGTACAGGAATATTCAAGTTAACTCGATGAAATAAAAAGTCAATTACTAAGTTAATACGATAAACAATTGTCTATGTGTAATATTGATAATTAAATTAATATTGATTAATAATCAGTTAAATTGCTTCTCACGCTGTCAAATAATATATAGAAGTAAAGTAGCTGAATGTACTGTGTATAGTTTGCTATAAACAATAAACAAAAAAAAAAATGCACATCGACAAAACATGAAAATATTAAGGGAATTATGACAAATTATAAAAGTTCAAATAGCAAAAAATTAGTATATCATTCATGTAGTTTAAATTTGTATATTTACAGCTAAATATAAATTTCTTTTAATTAAAATTTAGAATTTTATAAGTTATTCGGAAAACCTTTAAAATGAATTGAACTCCTGCAAGCAAAATAAGTCTTCGGGTTGTATCAGGTTAACAACAGATATTCGATGCAACAAAAAGTCAGTAAAAAATCTTTTTCGATTAAAATTTGTCTACAAAATAACTATAAAATCAATTAAATTGCAATCATATACTCTTCAGACAATATTTCATTGATAGTAAAGTTGTGTTTAATAAAAATGGAGCAAATACTGAAGTTAACTCGAAGCAACAAAAATTAGTCACTAAGTTCATATGACAAAATGTATCTATGTAATATCATTAATTAAATTAATATTGAATAATCGTAACATCATATAGTGAATAATCATAAAAAATTAAATTGAAAATAGACTAATCAAAAGTAAAGTAATTATATAGTATATAAATATATGATATATAAAATATGTGTGAAAAAAGTAGTAAATTATTCATGTTGTTTTATATATTTCATGAAACGTGTTTATGTAAAAATTATTAATAAAACAAATATTGCAGGATATATAAAAAAAAACTCAGAAATACCTAACCTCAAAATGAACAAAAATATTTCAAATAAAATGAAGAAAATGTAAAGTTCCATATGTGTTAGCTTATGAGGTTAAAAACTAGTATAAGACTAACTTTGTGATCAAAATACTTGAAAGAAAGTTAAATAGTAATTAAGAAATATCATAAAATAGACTCAAATCATCCTCAAATAAACTTTTCAAATCTCAATTAAAACATAGCCAAATCATTAAGTGTTTATAAATTTTGTTAATCAATTATACACTTTCATCGTATAATTGAGATATTAATAAAGGAGTTCCTTAAAAATTTCGAAAATTTTATTTCGAAGAATTTTATGTTTAAGAATCCGTAATAAACTGCAATAACTGTTTTTAGTTTAATTTAAATTTTGGGGTAGAAAAGAATCTTTCAAACATTTGATTCTTGTTTAACTTAATTTTATGTTACTGGAGTTAACACAATAAAATCTAAAATAAAAAAAATAAGTTGATTGCTCAAAGCAACTAAGAGTCAATTACTAAAATTAAACAATGAAAATTTGTCTATGTAATATTGATTTCACTGAATTTGACTTGATAATGAAATTTGATAAATAAATAAATTAATATTGTAGGATATATAAAAAAAACCTCAGAAATAAAAATGAATTAAAAATGATCAAAATAAAATTTGTCAAATATAGAACAAAATAATAAATGCTTTATGTTTATTAGGTCATGAGATCAAAAATAAGCAGAGACTAATTTTGTAAACAAAAGACACAAACAAAGTTAATTTTAAGAACTAACCTATAACTATTTCCAAATCTTAGAATCATTTAAATTAAATCTTTACACAATCATATTGAATTTATAAATCTAGTTCATCGAATAATCAAAAACTTGTGTTTCTACAGTCGAATACAGTTTCTTAAAAATTCTGAAGGGTTACTATATTGGGGCTTTATTGAAATTTAATTGTAATCATTAAAAATATTGAAAATTTTAAAAAATTTACAATAATTGTGTTTTTAATTATGTACCATTCCTATTATAGAATTAATATTACTTTACAAGTAATATAGATGTTTCAAACAAAATTAGTTTAGTATTTGTATAGTCTTGATAATTATTCTGGCATAAAATAATCATTCAAGCAATATTTTATCTTGAGTAAAGTTGTATTTGATATGTATAGCAACAAACAGGCAGTTACTAGAATTATACAATAAAAATTGTTTATGTGATATTCTTGAGTTTATATTGAATAATCATAATAACCTAAATAAAATAAAATAATAATATGGGTACGAAAAATATGCAAAACATAATTATTAAGGGTCCATAAAAGTTGTGTATAATGACAATTGTACTGGATATAAAAGAATACCTAACCTCAAAATGAACAAAAATTTGTAAAATAAAATTCGTCGAATGTTAAATAACATGAATGCGTAGAGTGCTATATATGTTAGCTTATGAAGTAAAAATAAGGTTGAGATTGAATTTATAACCAGAAGACTAAGAAAGTTAAATAATATTATCTCATAATAAACATCCATGTTTTAGCAACTGTCAAGTTGACGCCAACAAGACAACTGACAGTTTATGCGAACCAAATTATTTAACACAAAACAAAACATTGCGTATGCGTTGATAATGGAATTTATTTATGAAACAGGATTTTAATTAAAGTTTAATTAAACTGTTGATTATTATCAAAATTGGTTGGTTAACCCCTTTGAGGATGGGGTCCCTAAGATGGTGTCGATTAATATGTCAAAAAGAGTATGAAATTGATGTCCGCGCGTAAAAGACGACTACACAAATAAAGACGAACGAACGACTCGAAACCAAATCTATATTTAACCCGGCGAATGTGCACGTTTCTGTACAATCCCAGCTGTACGTCCCCACGGCCATTTTGAAGGCGCCGTCAAACTCCACGAATTTTATTCACTTATCCACAGGTGGTATATAAAATACATAACAAAATAATCTTTATCCTGTGTCCTATGTCCATTACTACCTGGTGAAGGGCTGTGAGTCCGTCAACATTGGCCGTGTCGATGTCGGCCCCCTGGTCGAGCATTTTGAGCACCTCGTCCTTATCGCCGGCCGCGCACGCTGCCAAAAAGACGCAGCCGGAGGAGAATTTTATACGTCGGGAGTTGTGTTTGGGGACGGGGGGCTCCCTGTTCGTCTCGGATTCCTCCCATCGTTTCAGCTGCTCGGCCCTTTTGAACAGGGCCGAACTCGAACGGGCCTCGAGCGACATTTAAACGACACTAAAAACACTTAACAACGATACACCCCATACGATCGACGGTAATAGTTTCGTACACAGGTAAATGATAATGGTGATAAAAGGAGACACTTAACTTTTTGGGAGATGTTACCGATTAAAAACACACTCGGACTCGGACTCGGACTGACTGAACTGATTGTGAGTGAGATGTTTCTTCGAGAGAGCAGAGAGACGATAGGCGAGAGCGAGCGGAACTAGCGCACCAACAGCGCGCAACTCGCAACGCAACGTGACACGACTGACAGCAGACACTTGACAGCTGACAGATTGCGCAACTCGCACCAACTTCAAGCGATTCGAAGAAGAAATTTGACAGGCGGGAAAACGTGATTGGTTTGAATGATTGAAAACTAATGATGTGTCTGCAAAGATTCTTGATTTAAATTATTCGGATCAGAAAAAAACTTGATCTTATAAATCAGTTGACTATCTTAAATATTGATATCATTTAAGTGTTGTGAATTAAGCAAAAGGTATATGTAATTTACTTGTCTTCTGGTGTTTAATTAGATAATAAACTAGTGGTGTATGGTATCGTGCCTTAAGGGGCACAACTAGTGTGAAATTTTCAAAAAATCGAATTTTTAATTTCCCATATTTCGATAGATTATACCTTTAAAAATTCCGAATTTGCTGCAGCGATTACTCAAAAACAAATGATACGATCACTATCAAATTTTTTTTACATGTTCTATATAAAGTTCTCCGTAAAATAAACTAACGATTTTTTTATCGGATCAAAAATCGAATTTTGCCAGTCCAAAAACGACCAAAATTTTTGGTAAAATTCGACTTTTTTTTTTAAAAAAAAACGCCTTTATTTGGTCAATTTTTTATTTTTTTTCTTTATCGTAGTTCATTTTACAGACAATATTATTTAGTTTAACGTGATTTTTTTTTTTTAATTTCATCCACGTAAAAGGCCGGAATCACTACAGCAGTGAAGAGCCTTTTTTTGTCGCGCCGTTGGAGATCGACGATAACTTTTAAAATACTTAATTTGTTTCTTCAAAAATTTTACTACGTGTTCTTAAAACATGTATATATATATATATATATATATATATATATATATATATTCCTAAAATTTTGAAATGATTGATAAAGTAGTTTTTTTTTTAATATAAATTCCCAAAAATCACTACACTAGTTTACACTAGTAGGTTACACTAGTTGTGCCCCTTAAGCAAATTCGAGCGTAATTGGAGCAAAAAAATTAATATTCAATAGATATTGATTAATGATTAATTACAATAGTTTTAAATATTTTCAAAGAGATGATTATAATTACAATATATTTTATCGTTCATTAAATATACAGTGACGATTTTATCGCTCAAAACACTTAAAAATGTTTACATTAAGAGATGCTGAATGAATCAATCTGAGGATATATTTCTTACGATTACAATAACGTATATATAGGGCCCGTCAGATAACTTTTTTTTTGAAAATGCTATATATAAACTACTGAATATTTTCTCAATTCAAATCTTTTCTATTTGAAAGTGCAAACCTTCTGGTTAATAATCGAAAATAATTTCATTGAATTTTCGAAATCTAACTTTTTAATGGCTGTCAAAAATTCTAAATTCCTACCAATAAAAAAAAAGTTATATGGCGGACCCTTTAAAATATATACGTTTTTAAACTGAATTGTAAATTTAAAATTCATATATGAAGTATAAAACTTTGTATGTTTTTGAAAATTTTGAAAAAAATGTTTCTGAAAATTTTGAAATTTGTTCGAATTTGTTTTGATGAGTGAACTTTAAAAATTAAAGATCTTGGTATGAAACCCAACAAAATTGTAACAAACTAGTGGTGCATGGCATCGTGCCTTAAGGCAAATTGCTGGAACTTTCCGTACCGAAAACTAAATTATTAAAATAAACATCTATTTAAACAATTTAGAAATTTTTGAAAAAATCTGACCTTTTTGAATTTTTTTTTCTTATATTTTGATTTTTTTTTTAAATTTGGAAAATTTTTGAAGCAATCGCACTGCATAGCTGATTTAGAGTCAAATTATCTAAGCGCGTAAGCGCTGCGTAGTCTTCTAACGTATAAACATTGGTACGGAACCCATATCAATGTACACAAAATTTGTACTTGTTATTAAAATTTTTATAAAATATCTGATAAGATGTACATACTCGTATGTCTAATATTCATTTTTGGCCGCTAAATGGCATTTTTTAACTTCTCATAGGGTAAGTTTTTGTAATCGTCCAATTGCAAAAAACAATTGCTGTTGAGGAAAAAATTTATTACATTTTTTTTTATTTTCCATTTTTGGATTAAAAATTCAAAAAATTACCCTGGCTAAGCACAGTCTAAGCGCCACTATGGTACAAATGTTTACCCAAGTGCGTTTAGACTGTTTATGTACTAGAGCACTTTTCCAATTCTGTGAAAACTATTGAAAAATGTGAAAATGCCGCCTAAGATAAGCACAGAATTATTTTCAAATGCTTTTAGACTGTGACTATGCGGGAGCACTTTTTCAATTTTGTGTAAATTAGGCAACTACTTTTTTTTTTAAATTGAATTCGAAATGAAATGACGATTGTTAATGTTCCGGAGATAAATTGATTTATGATTTACATTTGATTTGCTCAGATATAACAAGATAGCAAAAATAATGAAAATTACAGTATTTGTAATAATATATTTGAAAACGTTTAAAATTTCTCGAATATTTCATTACGGTACGGGAAGTTCCAGCAATTTGCCTTAAGGCACGATGCCATCTAGTTTAACCACTAGTTTAAAATTGAATTATCAGATTTTGCTTCGTAATTAAAAAATTACTGAAATAATAAAAAACACTTTCACAATATAGCAAAATCTTGAAATATTAAATGTGCCAATTCAATTCAAATAGAATCAGTTTCAAATTAGCTTGACACTTGCAAATACTTAAGGGACATTTATATGTGGCATGCTTTGCAGTGGGTAAACTATTTATATATTTTTTGTTACTGCTTCTTTCACTTATGCACCACATTTACAACCAGTTAGTTATTATATTTTCATAATAAACATTTTGTACCAGAAAGATTTTTTGCGTTTTATATTTCTATATATACTAACTGGCCCGAAACGTTTTGCCGGGCCAGCTAGTATATATAGAAAATATTGTATTATTTAGAAAAGTTTTAGTGCCAAAATGTTCAGAAACCTCTGAAACGTAAATATACGTAAAAGTGTTCAAATTCGATTTTCGCACGATTACCACAAGTTACTCTAAGGGGAGTTAAAAACCAATGTCAAATTACTATTACAACATCCCTTAAAATTTTTATTAAAATTCCAAAACTGAAGGAAATCTCACAACATATATTCAACATATCACAATTCAACAACTACACATCAATACAAATCATAAAATCATTTAAACATTTATCACAATTCGACAGAATCATTAATGATATTCCGATGGAGATCGTAGAGACTTCTGTAGACGTGTTTTGGGTCTAAAAATTTATATTTTTTGGCAAGTAGTTCTGGATCTCTTTCGTGAATTAGGATGGCATTCCAGCCTGCATCTCGGGCTCCTTTGTAGTCTAAAAGACCTGTATCACCTATATGGAGAACCTAAAAAAATAATAAACTAGAAATATTGCAAATACAAATCAGGTCTCATATGAATTCTCTTATTATTACCTCTGATGGTTGTAAATTTGGTATAATATTTTGGCCCTCCTCCAAGGCTTTATTGAATATTTCTTCGTCTGGTTTTTGGGCTTTGGCTTCATACGAACACATTGCGAATGAAAAATGGTCCTTGATTTTCATGTTTTTCAACAATCCTGGTAGTCGAGGATCGAAATTCGATACTACGCCCATTGTTATTTTGTTGTCTGATAAATACTGAAAAATTATAAAATTATGTATTAATAAATTAGTTAATAATATGAGTTAATAACAAATTGAGTACGAGCAAAATTCAAGTATTGTTGAAATATATGTTAAGAATAGTGCAACAATTTTCAAAAATTTCAGACAGTTTTTTGCAACATTTTCAAGCAATTTTTAACATTTTCAGACAATTCACAAAATTGTTGAACCATTGAGTACGTTTTCGGAAATTTTAAACTTTTTAATATAATTTAGAACATTTTTAGACAATTTGCTACATTTTCTGACAATTTTCATCATTTGCAGACAATCTGCAACATTTTTAGGCAATTGAGAACATTTTCAAAAGATTTAAGACATTTTTAGACTTTTTGCAATAATTTCAGCCGATTTGAAAGACTTTCAGACAGTTTAAAACATTTTCAAACAATTTGGAACGTTTAGAGATAATTTAACACGTTCTTAGATGTTTACAACATTTTCGGACAACTTGCAAGATTTTCAGACAATTTGCAATATTTTCAGACAATTTGCAACATTTTCAGGCAATGTGCAACATTTTCAGATAATTTAGAACATTTTCAGACAATTAATAAGATTTCTGGACAATTTAAAACATTTTCAGGGATTTAAAACATTTTCAGAAGATTTAGAAAATTTTTAGACTTTTAGTAACATTTCCAAATGTTTTAAAACATTTTCAGACAAATTAAATCACTTTCAGACAACTTCAGATATTTTCAAACAATTCAAAATATTATCAGACAAGTTACAATATTTTGAGACAAGTTACAACATTCTCAGATAAGTTTCAATAATTTTAGATAATTTAAAACGTTCTCAGACAATTTGCAACATTTTCAGACGTTTTACAATATTTTTTAACATTTTCAGGCAAACTAAATCATTTTCAGAAAGTTTAAAACGTTTCATTTAATTTAAAACATTTTCGAAAATGTTTTCAACACATTTTCAGACAATTTGCAACGTTTTCATATAATTGAAAATATTTTTAGATAATTAAAAACATTTTCAGATAGTTAAAAACATTTTATAATATTTTCAGGCAATTTAAAACGTTTTTGTCAATTTCAGACAATTTGCAGCATTTTCAAACAAATAAAGCATTTTCTGTCGATTTAGAGTAATTTTAGACTGTCTACAATTTCGTAAAAACCAATGAAATTTTCAGAAAATTCACAACATTCTCAGACAAGTTACAACATTCTGAGACAAGTTACAACATTT